TCTTTCATCCGTCTTTTGTTCTTTTATCTTTATCGCTTCTTAGCGCTTGTTCACAACTTTACTTTAAGGTCGATTTTTTAAAAAATAATCGACTGTAGTAAATCAATTTCTTACGGCTTACGTGTTACTTGAATGCACTTTCACATTTTCTCCTATATCTTCGTCAATTTTTCGAATATTTTAAAGCAAGGTGGTATAGTGGTATAATATTTAGAGCATTTTAAAAATTTGCTGAATTGATTACAAATGATTATATGGATATATCTTTAACGTATAATGTAAAAATCGTGAGCATGCTATTTCTCGCTTCTGACGTCATCAAACAAAGACAACCTATGCAAGTATGCAAGGGCCTTAGTATCTTGAAATTTTATACGATTATTTAAAAAATAATAATCTTTTTGTTGAAATTGACGTACTTTATTTGCATACGTTGGCGTGACATCAAACAACTTATATATACATAGAAGGGGAAATACCTTTGCTTCATGTAAACCAAAAGTATGTTACAGTATCAAATGGATCCTACCTTATAATTTATAAATAATTTATGCTTCAGCAGTAATAATAAGAAGTTGTATGATGTAACTTTTAATAAATAACATAACATCTCACACAGCACAATGTCCAAAATCGGGACATAAGACGTCTTGAATTTGTCTCTAAGGCCGGTATTCATAGTCGAATCTTATTTCAAGACCGTCTTAAGTAATGTCTTAAGATGCGAATACGGTTCTGTGATTGGTTCATGACATCTTAAGACAGTACTTAAGATGATCTTAAGAGAATGTAGATTTAAATAAATATGTTAATGGCATCTATAAAAAAAATATTTGTTAATTTTAAAATAATTTTTCCCTCAGTGTAGAGTATAGAAATCGTCAAAACTGTTACCTGGCTATTTACAGTTATTTCGACGCAGAGGACGATTATTCCATGTATTCATGTACTTTTCTCTCTCACACGTAACTTTGACACATTTCAATGTCAGCATTTTTCTTTTATATATATATGACTTAACCAACCGAGAAGTCAGATTAAATATTTTTCTTACAATTGCTTGAATTCAGTAATATCGAAAAGTATTTTAAAAA